GCTCTACTGATAAGTGTCCAGAGATACCCCACTCTGCCAGTAAGCCTCAGCCTGAATACACTCAGTTCTCTTTTCTATGGGTTGGCAAGCCTAGTTCTAATGTCAAGTGCTTGGAGGTTTCTAATAGAGAGCCTTCTGCCCAAAATCAGTTCCCTGGGTCAGATTCTAGGCTATCTTGTGTGCCAGTTTCCGGGTTCTGCTACCACCATTTTCTGCTACAGTTTATATATATAAAATTTATTATTAATTTCAGTAAAAATTTACAGAGACTTTGGATTTCCATCATTCATTGTTGTACTTTTCTCCCTCACAAGCCCCCCCCCCCCAGTACACTACCCTCTTGGAAAAGTAAAACAAAAATTCTTTCATTGTTTTACAAACCCTCCCCCAGGTCCACTCCACCATGCAGCCTTCACTCTAGACACCTGTCATGACAAAAATACCCAATCACATATCCCTTTTAAACAGTTTTCTCCCTCATCTATTTCAATGCAGTATACATTACTTATCCCATCTTTTCAGTCTCCCCTCAATCCTGATGTTAGTCTTGTTTTACAACAGACACCATGCAGTATTTGTCCTTTTGTGACTAAGATACTTCACTCAGCATAATGTCCTCCATTTTGAATAATATTGCATGAGTTCCCTGTTTTTCAATGCAGCGTAGTATTCCATTTGTGAATATACCACAGCTTCTCTATCCATTCGTTTGCTGATGGGCATTTAGGTTGTTTCCAACTCCTTGCTATTGTGAGCAAAGCTGCAATAAACATGGGTGTGTATTCTGCTACAGCTTCTTACCATCTCTGGTGTTATAGCCCTCCTCCCATACTTTTGAGCCCTTAACAGAATTGTCTTCAATGCCGATATATTACCAACAGATTCTTTAAAGCAATCTAGGCTTTTATTATTAAACCTACTGCCATCAAGCTCATTTCAACTTCTAGTGATCCTCCAGTAAGGTATCTGAGACTACACAGCTTTCCAGGAGAAGAATCCATCTTTCTCCTTAGCAGTATCCATCAAATCTATCTTAGAGCTGATAGAGAAAGGCATCTTAAAATTCAGCCTCCCTTCATTACCTGCAAATCACTTCCATACTTTGGTTATCTGTTACAGCAGCATCCCATTCATTACGCCAAAATTTCTCATAGTTATCTAGTACATTCATACTAGCAATACCACAAGCCTCTATAACATTTTACTTTCAAGAGTCCTAACATGGATTGGGTGGAACTGAGAAATAGTACATTTTTAAAACAGTTTTGGGGTGTGTGTTTTCCTTTCAGAATCCCACAGACTTGTTGAGTTTCTAGGTTAGAAAGAATATTGATAAATCTTCTGTTGCCTTGTTTTAATGATGTCAGTTAATATCTTTCCTCAAAAGATTCCTCTCAAAGTGCTGGTTATCATTTTGCCACTCCCCCCATCTGGTACAAATAAGAAAAGAATTTAGGAATACTCAGGCAAGTCATAAACATTAAGGACTTCAAAAGTAGTGAAGGCATATGCTAAGCATACATGACTCAATATTTACTCTGCCAGAAAGACAATGAACTTGGTAGAAACCTTCAGCCAAGTTCCAGAAGCAAAGCACATACTAACGGAAAGCGTAAGTCAACCAAATAGTGTCTGAAGTGGTGAACCACTTTTTTCCCCAACCTCATTTCAACACATTGGCTCCAGTATATAAGTATGCATTTGTTTTACATAATAAAGTGAAATACTCTCAGAGTAAAGGAAATTCCTGGAAAGGTTGTAAGGAGAACCGGCGATGAAAGAAAATGAATACTGAACTTTTATAATTAATGCATGTAGCAATGACAGAAATTGATGACTGTAATTACTTTTTGTCAGAGCAAGTAGAGACTCTACTGCTACTCAAAGAGCTGAAACTTACTCGCTTTAAATTTTTCCAAGGGAAGTATGTAGCCATCAACGTAGGAAAAGAAATCCCTACTTAAAAAACAAAACCACATCTGATAGTTAATGTTCTTTTTCTTTGTTTTAGATCAGCTGTTTTTCCAATCTTCTGTGACGTGTTAATTATCTTTAAGGGTAATTAAATTATTTTAAGTACAGTGTGATGAAAAAGAATACAAATTATTCTCTATCCTTGAAAAGAATATTTTACATTTTTTAATTAAAAAAAAAACACCCCAAAACATAAAAAGCGGGCGCACGCGTGCGCGCACACATACACACACACACAATCCAGAAGACCCAAAAGCAACAAAACTCCAAACCTCCAAACCTGTAAGGTATTTCTGAGTAATTGATACATTTATGCAGCACTCATTAGAAATTATTTTAAAAAATCCTGCAGTGGGATATGAATGTTACACATATTTTAGTAGGCTCATGGTTCATTCTTCTTCAAAAGGTATGTACAATCACGAGTAATGCTGGAATCAGAGAATGTGTAACTCTCAAATTGACTACTGTTAGATAACTTTGCTATAATCTGCCTAGAAGCAACATTTGAATGAATGTTTGTTTAAGTAGGTGGTCAAGTCTATGAGTATGTAATGCTAGATTTCCACAAACCATCTCCAATTTTTATCATTACGCAATGTACAAATTAGGATGAGATAATATAGATGGACGAAAGGCTAACGAGAAACCAATTGGAAGATCTGTTTCTAAAAGGATCCTGAAATAAGAGTTGGTAGTGAAACAAATGAGGGACTGAATCACATCCTAGAGAAGGGGAAAATATTTATACCTGTTGACAAAGGTGTGCTTTTACAAACAAACAAACAAACAAACAATCTCCAAATAAACACGGAACAGTAGTTGAGATTTAGTTTATGATTTAGTGACCTACAGGTTTAGAGCTACATCCAAGCTAATGATCCTTACACTTTAGTTTGCTAAAGTTACTTGTATAATACCTGTGGAAATATTCACAGGGTCCCTGTAGCCAGAGATTGTAAGTCAGGTGATGCATGTGGTTTAACCATGTTGTTTTAAGACAACATCACTCACAGCAAATAGCAGCAAATAATCTCTGATTAAAAAGTTAAGATCCCCAAGAAATTAGACCAATGAAGCCTTTACTTAAAGGTGACTCTATTATAATAATGTGACGACCAACACATCACCCTTAATTAAAAGTCCTTTTATATTTTTTTCAGCTAAAGGTTTGAAATCAATTAACAGTTCATAAAAATGGTACCAATTTTCAGGCAAAAAGAAAAGCACCAGGGATCACAATGTTAAAAGTAGTAGAATTCCCTAAAAATCTAAGTTAGGCAGGCATCAAAAGTCATAGGTAACAATGTGATAGATTATAATATAGAGGGTTGTGATTGAGTCTTAATATACTGTTGACACATGATCTAGTCTTTCCAGTTACCACTATAGAAGAAGGCCAAATAGAAAAGTTAATGCACACACTCTCAGGTTTTCTAAATACCAACATTTTCTGGTTTACACTGATAAACAACAAAGTTCTTTATTTTTTTGGATGCTAGAGACAAACATCTTTATTAAAGATACTACCAAAATTTTGGCAAACATTTCAAAACAGATTTGTAAACATAATGCTTCCCTTTTCAACTGGCAGCACTTTGAAAAGACAATACGATACGACAACACAACTTGAATCAACATTAGTTCAAAATCTTTACATTTTGACCACATAACTTATGTTCCCACATGATAAAACAAGTGATAGTTTAAATCAAAGTCAACAGATAAACTCCATGAAATGAAAGTTTGTGCTGTTTGATGAATCACAGTATGTATGGTTAAATATATCTGTTCTTTCTTTATATTCCTGGCACCCAGGATGAAAAAAAAAAATCTTTAAATATACATTTCATGTAGGTAATAGCTTCTTTGCATATCTCTCTTCAAAAAATACTTTATAGCATTATATAAATAGGTTCCCTACATGTTTAATTTTATAATTTTGCCCCAAAACTATAGATCTGTTTTATTTTCATAACATATTGATTTTCTCCAACATTAATAAAGCTGACAAACGGTTGAAATGGAAATGCTTTTGTCTTCCACAAGAGAAGTAGCAATTTGACAGGAAAAATAAAACAAACAAACAAAACCTACAGTAACACTCGTCAGTTGTTTAACCTGAGCGTTTGGCCTACTAAGAGTAGCAGCTTTTTTTCCTTCATGCATGCTTATATCCATACAACCTCGGCACACACTTACGGTTTGAACACACACTTTCAGACGCTGGTAGGCCACAGTGTGCTTCCCACTGCTTTAATCAAGTGGAAGGCAGTGTAGCTAATTATTAACCACACTATGTACACAACTAGCAAACACCTTAAGGCAATCATTGCAATGGGGGGTTAACTTGCAGGGTGCTTTACTGTTCTAGAACAAGTCAGTATGTATATACATACATCTATGTATACCTATGTACATATACATACTCATATACTTTTCTATTTCTTAACCCTCCAAAACAATGTTTAATTTTTTTAAAATTTTGTGCAAATTCCTAAATATTCTACCATTTAAGGCAAAGAGTTTGCATTAAGAAAGGTCAGAAAATAGGCTTATGTTTATCCAAAAGCATTTCATCTTGCGTATTACTGTGTGGTTGATTATTTTTCTTTTTAAACACATACACACATACACACACACACACACTCACACACACCTTTTAAAGTGTGGACACTGAATCGCCAATATCTTAAAAGTCATTTCTAAATGACAAACACAAGTTTCTGAGGGGAAATAAAACTGATTTGAAGTATAGATACTGGATCCCCAATATCTAAAAGGGAAAAAAAGCATTTCTATTGACAAACATAAGTCTTGAGGGGAGGAGGGGGGGAAAGGACCAGAGAAGCAGCTTCAAAAATGCAGGGAAGCAAAGTAACATGGATAAAGAAAAGGAACTCAAGTTTACTAATACTGAAACTTTCAACAGGCAAAGTTTCATCTCTTTAGAATTTACAGCAACTCATTTGGAATTTAAATAAATAAGCTTAAGTTTTTTCACATCTTCTGGTCCAAGCAGAGTTCTAGTGCCATGACTCTGCTTGCTGCTGGTCAAATTCACCTATTAGTCTTTTGATGTGAGCCAGCTTGTTATGAAGATACTCGCATCTGTCCTTTTCTTCATGATAATTTGGACTAGACTGTGGATATTTAAAAAAAAAAAAAACAACACAATAAATCCCAGTCAGAATTAGATTGCAGAATTTATAGTATTACCCAAGTGCAGTTCAGAAACCCAACAGTAGCAATACCTACCTGCTTGATTTTCCGATATTCTTGTAAGACTTCTTCATGAACATTCTACAAAATTAAAAATCAAAGATTAGAAGAGGAAAAACCCTTAATTTTGTGGGGAATCAATAAAATTAGCTATCACATTTGGCCTACCACTCATCTGTCAGTTTGTCACACATGTGATAATTTACATGTTGCTGTGATACCACCGTTATCTCAAATGAAAAACTTCTCACAGCTGGATCACTAATCATCAGGGAGTTAAAAAAAATTACTAAAGCTGTCAAAAATTTCTATTTACTTGGGTCCAGAATCCCATGGAAGCAGCAGTCAAGAAATCAAAGAATGCATTGCTTAGGAAAACCTCTCAAAGTGTTAAAAAGAAAAGATGTCACTTTAAGGACTAAGGACACCAGACCCAAGCCTGGTATTTTCAATTGTCTCATATCCATATGAAACCTGGGCAATGGAAGGGACCAGCAAAGAACTGATGCTGCTTAAGAATACTTACTATCTATGTACTGCCTGGATTATTACAAAACAAAACACCTTTCTTAGAAAAAATATAGCCAGAATGCTCCTTAGGAGTGAAGATGGTGAGACTTCATCTTACGTACTTTGTAAATGTTAGGAGATCAGACCCTAGAGAAGGACATCAAGCTTGGTAAAGCAGAAGGTCAAGCAAGAAAAGAGAAGACCCTCAATGAGATGGTTTAACACAATAGCTACAACTTACAGCTGACCTTCCAATGAGCTTTTAGAGGTTGCAAAGCGCACAGGACAAGGCTGCTCATTGTTCTCCTGAGGACCACTTGGTGGATTCAAACTGTATGCATTCAGGTTGGCAGTGCAAATGCCTTACCTATTGGGCCACCAGAGCTCCCGTGTATGTGTTGGGTGCTTTGCTAGCATAGTCTGTAGTGAATTGTGAGGGCCTTGGAAACTCAACGGAGGGTCAGTGAGTTGGAACTGACTCGAAGACAATGAGTGAGGGATATGTAGAGATCTAGTTAGGGAGCTCTGGTGGCCTACAGGTAAGGAGGTGAGCTGCCAACCCAAAGGTATGCAGGGATCTCCCCCTGTGTGATGTGCTGCCTCTGAAAACCACTGAAGGGTCAGTTATGAGTCAATCCAGACTCGATAGTATACAACAGTAGCCTATATATAGTGGGAACCAGTGATGGTGGTAAGAAGCTGTGCTGTAATCTCAGAGGCATACAGTTCAAATCCACCAGATTCTCTGAGGAGAAGGATTGGCAATCTCTCTCTGTGTGATTAACTTGTCTCTGAAAACTGGTTGGAGGGTCTTCTATGGGTCAATTCCAACTCAATGGCACACAACAACAACAACAGTAACAGTGATTGTCAGCAGAGTGGGAAACTGGAGGGAAAACTGCTAACCCTTTATGTACCAAGTATCAGGAATGGTTCCAAGAATTGTTTAAAAATTTCTATTTAAGAATAGAGTTGCACAACAACTCTACGACTACCTTATTTCATGGTAGAGGATGTGTGGCAAAAGGAGTTAAGTAACTTCTTCAAGATCACACAAGTATTAAATGACAGAGCCTGGGAATCAAGCCCAGGCAGACTGGCTCCAGCGCTTGCATATAACCACTAAGCAATCCTTAGAATTACATTTTAGTTTAAATATACATAATCAAGTGTACTGATTGGTAAACACCATTTGGGGAGAAACAAACCCCCAAACCAAAAAAGCCCTAATTCCATGTTGCCAGCTTCTTGTACCTCCAAACTCAATTCCTCACAGAGTCCTCTATGAAGACAGCTGGTTTAAAAGAGTAAATCCAACTACCATAAGGCATAAAGAATCTCCAGGGCACAGGCCCTCTGGGGCTGTTTCTCTATTGTGGGAAAGCTCACTAAACCAGGGTGCGAGCTGGACTAGTAGCTGGGAAATATGACACAGTTAGCTGTTCCACAAATCATCAGGCAAAATGGAGTTAGGAGATAGGTCAGGCACCTACTTCTCTTTATAGTAATCTTATCACTTCAATTAGGGTACTACAAACAGATTGAGACCATTATTGAATGTCAGTTCCTGGAACAGCTAGAGGACCATATTTTTCTTCACTTAAAAAAAACCAGTCCTTTGTAGTATTAGGTCCCCTTTGTACCCCACACCAGGAGGTATCTTGGCCTAGTGCATTACACGTAAAGTTGCTAAGCGAAAGGTCAGTGGCTAGAATCTACCACCTGCTCCAAGGTAGAGAGACAGGCAGTCTCTTCCCATGAAGGTTTATAGCTCAGAAAACCTGACAGAACTGACTGCACAACAGTAAGTTACGTCTATCTTTATTCTATTCCACATGGAACATGTATTTAGTTGAAATAGCACAGCTTATCAGGAGCCAACACCAGGACTAGGAACTAACCTCTGATTGAAACTGGAATTAAATCTTCTGGGTACTCCCAAGGTGCACATTCCTGTCACTTACATGTAGTTGTTTTGGGCCTTTTTCTCAGTATACTATATGTTTTGCTACAATGCCACAGATATTACCACACTTTAGTTTTTCCACATTTGTAGAAATATAGGTTCACTGTGTTTCTTTTTTTCTGAACAATTCTCTAACTAAATTAAAGGCAAAAGTAGCAGACAAACTGGTCTAAAAGTGGATGGCTCCAGTACCAGTAAGAACATGGAGGATGGTCAGGGAAGGGAGGGACAGGAAGAAGGTAGAACATGAACACAGAGCCGTCTTAGGGACAAATGCATTTACCTGATACTCTTTCGAGCCTGGAGAAAGGCGCTTTCGTTGCGCATCCAGTTTGATAAATCTTCTAGCCACAGTCTCCATCCTGGCATACAAGGCCCTGTATTCGTCGTACTCAGCAAAGAAGTCATCCTTATAATTCTGACGTTGCTCATAGGAGACAATAGCAATATATTTTCTATTAAGAAAAAGTTAAAAGGAAAAAAGGTAAACAGAGAGTAAGTATAGGTCAGAGTTAAAATGTGTATTTAGAGATAACACCCATGAATTTATCACCAGGACTTAATATCACTATCCACTAGTATGCTCCTGAAAATGTACTATTTCATTTTTCAGTGTTGTGTAGTATTTCATTGTGTGGATATTCTATAGTTTTTCTATCCATTCATTTGTTAATGGGTACTTGGGTTGCCTCCATGGTTTTGCTATTGTGAACAATGTAGCAATAAACATGGGTGTGCATACATCAAAAAAAGAAAATGTATTATTTCAAAGACGTTCCCTGTGAAATTTGATAGAGGATACATGTGAAAAGGTGGCATGGTCATGGAATTAAAAAGCCTCTATATGAAAACAAGACACAGATTTAGTCTATTAAATCTTCCTCTACTCCAAATAATTCACTCCCACACTAAGCACAGAGAGAACTCATCTGTAATGTCACACTGAGATAGAAGGACCTGAAGGTAACATGAAACTGGGACACATCACACAGTCACTGGGAGTTAACGTCAAAGCTCCCCTCAGACTTGCTGCCCTGGGTGAAGATCTTCAGCCTTTCAACCCTGCTGCTAGCAGGGGTTTCCACTGGTGTGCCTCAGACCAGCCTTTCTCACTCTTTCCTTACATTTTGGACTAGACAAAAATGTATGATCCAAAGGGAGAATTTTTAATAAAGATATTGGGAGAAAAAAGTGTTTTTAAATCTTCTCTCCAAATACACTTGACTATTATTTAATGGAAAACCAGTGCGTATATACTATAAAGTGCTGTCTTATTTTATTCATAAAATGTTATACACACAAAAAGTCACAACTCTGTGCATTTTTTTAAAATATATATAACTTTGGGACAGAAAACATCTAGGGGTATGGTGAGAGAAGTCCATTTTCCCAGGGCATCAATTTACTCAGTGGTAAATCCATTAAAAGTGCATTTTTATATTAAAATCAACTTAGTATTTGTCAGTGGATATAGAGGTTAGGATCATATTAGGGTCTGGGCTGGGTCTTTACAGATTGTGCTTCTGTCATGGAACGCAAACTTCCCTTTATTTGGGAGAGACAATCATATGGTGGGAGCTCTGCAGTGCTCCCAGGAGCATACATATATTCTTTACCATGGAAGACCTCTCAGCGCTCAGTCTTCTCCAAAATGTGTTTATACAACCCTACCATTTATGTAAGTGCTATACTATAAAATGCCTGGTTGGAAATGTGAGAAAGTGATGGAGTGAGCATACTTAATGTCCTCATTAATATTTTTATTCATGCTGAGTTAGACAGTATAGAGGTTTAATTTTCTAAGTGTAAGTGAGACAGCGGTAGCATGCTGATTTAAAGCTGCACCACTGCTGCCTTGGCTGTAAAAGGAACACTGACAAGCAGCCAGCTGATCTGTCCTCCATATATACAGGCTGCGTGACTGCACACCAGAGGGAGCCCAGAGAGAAGAGAATAAAAAAAACCAAACACCCCCAAACCAAAAAATCTCCTGGAGCACCATATATCAGGTGAAGCTGATCTTGAAAGTTAGATTTCATTTGTACTATAGGCTATATTTAAGGTCCTCAGTTGGTCCAAATGGTTACATGCTTGTGGTTGGTGGTTCAAACCCACCCAGAGACAGATCTGCTAACTTTTTGAAAATTCCCTGCCTTGAAAACCCTCAAGTGCAGCTCTATTCTGCATACATGGGAACCGTCTCAGGAGTCAGAGTCGACTAGAGGGCAACTAACAACAACACAGAACGTTTACTGTGCTTTCTCAAATTCACATCTAAGGTTAACCCTTGGTATTTTATTTTAAAATTTCCTTAGGAAAAAGAACACATTGGTTAAAAAAGTTGTGTTGAAATTACAGAAAATGATTTGGTTATGCTTGTATTTTAACTAAAACATTTCACCCTTTTTAACAATTGTTTAGGTCCACAGTTGGCTCTATCCGCAGGGATGGAAAAAAGGTTTTCACAGTTGGGATAATTCACAAACACAAGTAACAAAATAATTCTTATTACAAAAAATAGGAATTGTGGGTAGGTATGAATTAGTCAAAGGCTGATAATTAAGATTTTATAGTGTATTCCCCCCCCATGCAAGTCTAAATTTAGAATTTTTGGTGATTTTTAAAAAAAAAATGCATATTTTCCCACCATTTTATAGAACTGACTGTTATATAAATAACAGTTTTTTAAGACTTTTATTAGTTTTAAAATTATACCAATAGATTATACCATATGGATTAACTGGGAAATGGTATTATTTCAATTTTCCATGATTCTACTGTATTTGTTATACTGCTCTTTCAAAGATGACTTTGAAATCCATCAGAGGGCAGCGTATTGATGGTACATTGAGAAGGCAGAAGTTGGTGTGTATTTGAAGAGGTAAAATCTCCTTAGCAGTGGAGTCAAGCCATGTTCCTCCAGGCCTAATAAAAGGCTGACCGGTCCTGGCCCAGTTTGGTAGGCTGCTGCATTTTAAGACTCCTTTACAGAATTCTGAAACCATACACCACCTCAGATGAGAACTGTCCACATAGTTTCATGGGGGACTTATAGTTAGGGTATGATAACCAGCATTATGCCTTCAAACTACAGCATTCTGCAGTAAATACAGTTCTCATACCCTTGTATAGCAAAAGTAAAAGATATTTTAAGTTAATAAATGTTTTCTACTCTGGAAATGAGCACATTAAGAGACCTAGAAGGCTAAGCCATACAAGTTAAACTTTGTCTGACATGAGTTGCTCCTAATAAGAAAAAAAGATTTAAGCATTCTGGATTCTATTTTCCACTCTATGTATTTTGCACATTGGTTAATTTAAAAAGCTGTCTACACTCAGATCTGTCTGCCCTTTCACTCTCCATTTGCACAGGCTCTAGCAACTTAATTATTTTCTTCTTACAGAGGCCTTTGATTCTGTAAAAAAGCTAGAATTATGTGTCTGCATTATAATTTCTATGATAACCAGTTACAAAAATGTCCCAAGCTCAGCATTTAGCAACTTCTTGTCCTAACAGGAAATAACATTATAATCAGGACTAAAATGAAATAATAAAATTTACTATTTTCTTAAAATTAATTTGAAAGCAGTGCTTTAGCAAAATAAAAATAAAAATCCATATATCTTTTTTTGGGGGGTACTTAATAATTTATATTAACTGAAGCAGCTTAAGAACTTTATCAACAAAAAACCATTCCTTTTGGGGAGGGAGTATTTAGTGAATGGCCATGCATTGATAGACTGTCAGTGTTGAAGAGTCAGATCCCTGAAATCATCCATAATCAAATGCTTGGCATGGCCATGGGACAAAGGACAGGCTTCACGATACTTAAAGGCCAACAGACACAGCTCAGAAGGGGGGTTGGAAGGGGGGCTGGGACAGCACAACCTGCTCATGCAGACAAGGGTGGATTTGGGATAACAGGCTTAATGGCAGCCTTTGAACTGCCGGAGTGGTTCCAGTATTCTATTTCTAGAACTTCTTTTCTGATTTGCAAATTATGGAAAAAGAATTTGCAAATGTCCTAAAATTAAACCACCCTTTCCTTCTGGTAGACATCTAAACTCACATCAAATAATCTGGGAGTTCAATGGTGGAAGAAGGCTCCATGGAGGCAGTGCAGCCCTCTTTAACTCCTACAAAGAAAGAAAGAAAGAAAGAAAATTAGTGTGTTCAATGACCAGTATGGTTATAAAATGCCTATATTTTTTAAAATAGATCAGAAACATCTGGAACACTTTTCCTCAAATTCTATTCTTCCATCTCAATAAGCAACAGTGTGGAATACAATTGGACACAAACAATAGAGGCCCTATGACCAGCGCCAGCAGAACTGACGCCAGGCATTTAAAGCACCCTGGCTACTGCAGTGTCTGCACAATAAAGGAATTCCATCTTAACCCAAGGTCAATCTTCTATTCTTTCAACAACAGTTGTGGCATCTGCCCAGCAATTCAAAGACTGCAGTGGCAGATGCAGCCAAACAATGGGAGATACAAATTTTACATCAACATCTACTTTTCATTGGATTCAAACAAGAGAGATGAGACAATAAAGCCAGGTAGCAGACTGCTTCAGTCACTGTATTTTACTGCTACCCTTTTTGTATGCAGACAGTGGAATTGGGTAGGAAGTTTTCCCATAGGTTTAAAGTCATTTATAATAGGATATTATTAAGCCCTGATTTATACTTTCTAAACTCTAGCCCTCACAACACTAAACGTAGAATTTCTTTTTTATTTTAAAGCATAGAAAAGTTATGTGCCAATTATTCAGGACTGTGAAAGTGTGTAAAATCCTTCAGCTCCATGTGTTTAAACACACTATTTCTAGAGGACATGTTTAGATTTTCTTTTTATTAGGATTTCTTTTTTTTTTTTTTAATTCAACCCACTGTTGTTGAGTCCACTCTGACTCTTAGTGACCCTCTAGGACATAGTAGAGGCCTGTAGATTTCTAAGGCTATAAATCTTTAAGGGAGAAGATTGCTTTACCTCTCTCACTTAGAATGGCAGCTGGTGGGTTCAAACCACTGACCTTTTGGCCAAATGCTTAAAAAACAGTCATCAGGGCTCCTTTTTATCATTCAAAGTACAACTAAACTACTAACTCAAACTCTAAATGAGTTGCTCTGAAAACTCATGTTGACTAGAAAGTAAGATTGATTATTGGATAATTTTCTCATTTTACGTTTTAAAGAATAAAGAGATGCAACAAATGATAGACTCCGTTCATACTCCAGCCTCATTTGGCTTTGAAAGGTACTACATCTTCAGTGCAGGGCTGAAAAAAGACTAGGTTTGCAACTCTGAAAACACTCAACACTATTGTAGGTCACAGCAAACTGGAACCCATTCCCCCTCCAGCTCCCCAACATTAATTTGTTTCTGAGTTAGGGTCACTGTGTGCCTGGGTGTGGGGAGAGCAGAGGACACTGCTAGGAGCCTGAGTTAGGAACTTTGACCATGGTTTCTACTACTTCCTGACTTTCTCCTGACCCAGAAAATTCCAATAGAACAGTGTTTATGGGAATAACTTACAGCCATCTCTTCTCTAGATATTAATGTAGCACTATACTCATCTAAACACTTCAACAGATTTGTTTCGGTACCGACTATAACCAATCCAGGTTAGCAAAGGCATTGTATTGTACTATTTTCCAAACTCCTTTAGAAATCCCACTAAAATAAAGCTATCAAACCTTCTTTCTATGATAAAAATGGTTAGTAAATCCTAACATAAACTTCTACTTTGATGGGCCAAATATAGAAAGAATTTTGTATTGAAACAATTTATTAAACTAAAACTGTATTTTCCTGGGAAATTTTGCCTTTTTTATGTTGGGTTAAAAGTCAATAGCAATGCTACATGACAGATTTGGATCTTATTTTGGAGATTTTGTTCTTTCTTTTTAAAATAAGACAAATCTAAAATTACCATTATGGTTAGGTGCCTTTGAGTTGGCTTCGACTCACAGTGATCTTACATACAATGTCTAGTGTGAAAAACAATATATATATAAACTTTATGAACTTTGTATGTAAACCAGTATAAGAGAAAATAAAATTTAAAAAGTACTATTCACATTTTTCTACATGTCAATACTTCTCCATAAACTGTTTTTTTAATAGGTAACAGTCTTTGCTTTAAATCATAATCTGCTTCTATCACTAATACCATATAATGAAAAATTAAACATGGTTAAAACATCTCTCAAATTACTGTTTCTATAATGAACAAACAAACAAACAAAAGAATATGCCTCAGGGAAACAGTATTTCTAACCAAATTAGGCTTAAATAGAGGTAAAAGAATATTTTCAGGTTGTTAGGGTCTCTAGATATGTGACATTTAAACTCCTTCATTTTAAAATAGTTGATTTTTTGATTAACAATTGATACTAGTTTATTAAAATAGGACTCTCAAGATTAAAAAAAAATCCTTAAAAACTGTGAAGACTTTCAAAAGGCAAATGGCTTTCACAAAGAAAAAAGATGTTGTAGATCTGCAAATATGATTTCACTTTTCCTGTTTTGTAAAGAATGACATTTCCACTGTGCTAGTATTAATTAAAGCAAGAGTGATTCTGTTTCTTTAGAAAATAGGAAATGAACAGTCTTATTACTGTGTGTGGCTAAGCCAGTTTAATAACAACATATTATTCTAAGGTTGCACAATACCCTAAGAATTATCTAAAATAGCAACTAAAGTTCACCTTCTAAAAGGAAGTCCCTGAAGGATAATAGGGTCATTTTCAAATGTCATCATCTTATTAACAAATATAGAAACCATATTTAATGGTTGTTTAAAAAGAGACTGAAAATGTCTGTTGGTAAAAAAGAAAAATATCTGCCCCAAAGCATCATACTAAGATTACAGACTGAATGGAAGATAATTTGGTAAAAAAGTATTACTAATTATATAGCATAATCTCAGATGATAATAACATGCTTCTAGGTCATAATTCATGCATTGGTTATTTTACAAATGTTATATACCTTCACTGGAATTAGGACTGGAGTTATTTAGCTTGGCAATTTCCTCTTCTTTTTTAAGGTCCTCCTCATTTTCCTCAATGTCCTGCTTTTTTATTTGGTCCTTTTCTTTGTGTTTTTTAGACTTCTTTTTGGACTTCTTGTGAGATGCTGACTGGTTTTCTTCCATAGGCTTTGGACACTTTAGAAGAACTGAACCAGGGGGCGGTAAGGTTTCCAGAGAAGTCCTAGAGGTATATTTGTCTTGCTGGTCCTCACAGAGACTACCATTTTGACTGAAACTGTCAACAGGTAGGTCTTGAGTCCCCCGGCCTTCTGGTGTGCTAGGGGAGTTGGAGTTAGAATTGACAGTCTGAGGAGGATTTGAGACAGGTAGGTGGGTTGAAGGCAGCGGTAGAGGGGTTGGGATGGCAGCGGCTGCAGGGGGCAGCAGGACACCTGCAGCAGATTTTTCACTGGTAGGATTCAAATGACCATTTAATGTTGGCGGTACTCGACTTGTCAGGTGAGATATTCGAGCTTTTTTATTCACTAAAGGGTCAATGAAATCTGAATCCAAAATTCGTTTCTGGAAAAGAGAAAAAAATTGTGCTGGTTTGCACAAAACCTCAATATATTCAATATTCATGTGACTGGTTATCAAGTTAAGTAAATTTGTTTATACTTAAATCTGTTATCAGGGCATGTTAAGCTTTCTTTAACGTTAAAAAATAAAAATAAAATTAATTTTCATATCTAATGGCAAAAAGCAAAATCTGGCAGATATGTTTCTTGAGGTACTTAATCAATTCTGCCTGATCAGAGAGCCTCACCTAAAATTCCTAGAGACTATGCCAGTTTATGTGGATTATACCACGCAGGCATGAATTAAATAGATGTGGCCACCCTCTTCTAGAGACCTCACTTGAACTAGTTACATTAACTGAGAAGAGGAAGCAATTTGTACCATTTCACTGAGCACTAACAAGTGTAGAGGGCAACAAGCTGACACTATTTTAATCTCCTCTAATGTGCTAAAATGATCCAGTCATGAATATTTTGGCTGTCATTTATTATCCCACCTGTTTTAAAATGGGAACAAAATGCACTTTCAGAGTAATTTCAACATATTTCCCCCTTAACTATCTCTTCACCAGATTGGACACTAACTCTTAATAAGTGGTTTACAAAAATGATGTGAAAAAATGCAAAAAAGTAATGTTAGTATTAGGCCAATCCAGCAATAACAATAGCATTTAAATTAAAAAAGAAATTCAGACACAGGTAGAAAACATAAGCTCAATGTAATATACTTCAGCTAGAAAGCAAATAAGAGTTAATCAACTCATTACTTTATTCTGTTTTCTATTTAGCACCCGGTATAAAATTAGATGAGTATAAGTAGCTTCAAAATAGTTGGCATTCAAAGTGAGGCTTTTCTAGACAATGTATATGTGAGGATAGAATTGCATTTTCTCCCCGTTTCCCATCTGTTCCTCCCAATAGGTTTCTAACATTTTCTAATGCTCATGAAGGCTAGGGTGACAATCTTAATAATACAGCTGACATGTGAATAGCCTTTTACCCAAGGCATGCTTACTGTTCAACACACATCTGTCCACTCCTCCCTAATTCTTGGGAGGAAGCTCCAGAGAGAAAAAAAAGAGAGAGAGAAAGTTCTCTTGTCAGCATAACAAGGGTAGGCAGAGAGGTTTCCTCCACAATCTAAAGGACTCAGGACATTGAGAGGATTTTAAGACTGGTCAGAAGATGTGAGGCCAACCTGGCTTCAATTCTACAATACAGTCCACAATTTTCCCACTTTATCCAGAAGAACTCTAAACTAGAGTGAAGTGTAATCATGTATATTCTAACTGGGAAGCAATCAAAAAGTATTTTTTTAAAAAAATCTATTAAGATGGCATATTATTTAACTTGCTTAGTAAAAATACATTCTGCCCCTCCTAGACACTGCCAAGAAGTATTTTTCAAAGAATATGTTTCACATAAAATTAAATACCATCAATTTTCCACATAATCTGAATAATGGGACTGGTATTGTTATTGTCTAAATGAAAAATGAGGTCATCTTTTCTCAAAATATAAACTTTAAAAAACGGAAAAGCAAGGGTAATATCACATTATATATTAATATAATATTTAATGGAAGAGTTCTCGATAGGAAACAGAGAACCTGGATTCTAGAGCCAGCACCCCCCAGCTGTGTGACTTCAGGCAAATTGTGACACTTCTCTGGGTCTCATTTTCCTTATTTATAAATCAGGGAGCTAAATGAGATGACTCCTAATGTCATTTCAGTCTGTGAGTCTGTAATTTTATAAAATACCTGAGCAGGAGAAGATGTAGTGTCTCTACTGGAACAAACAGGAGATTCTGAGCAGCTGGTGCCAGCAGCATTCTGAGATGAATTTAGTTTTCTGTAAAGGACACACACATTCCAGGTTATGGAGAGAATTTTCAAATGTTCACAATAGAAAATTTACCCTTGATCCTCTTTCCCATCTCAACACTATACCAAAAACTATAATTATTACTTATTTGTCTCGTTTATTTTAGAGGTGAAAATAAAGAACTTACCTAGAGAGCACTGCTTCCAAAGACTGTTTGTCTATTTCATTGTACCCAGGCCAGTCTCTTTGAAGCTCTTTAAATACATAATCCTTTAAGGTATATGAGAGATCCTTAGGATTCAGATTGGCCACCTGGCATATGATAAAACATGGAATTAGCTTTTTGTTTGTTTTCTATTTCCCAATGCAAAACAGGCAGTCATTTGGATTTAAACTGAAAATAATTGTAGCAACTGGTCCCAAAGGGAGAGCTAATCTTGTACTTTTCAAATGTTAACAAATGCCAATCAACTTCATTTCGTACATACATCCCACTTTTTTGTCCCCTCTGCATCTGCAATATTTATACTCAAATAATAATCCAGAGTTAGGAAAAAAGCACAAGCCCTTTTAAAAGATAAATTCTTTTCTAGCCAAACAGTTATTTTTACTTTTTAAATTAATATTTTCATCATTCATATACTTTGTGCTTATGTATGTACACTGTGCTTTATACAATCTTTGCTTTACATTAATATTTCATTCTGCTGGTAACTGACTCCATTAGTTTTGAAAGTGTCACAATTAAAAAAAAAAATCAACAACAAACCACAACAGAAACCTTTGGCCACTTATATTATGCAGACATCAGGTGGTATCCAAATGTTGGGTTATAAGCTTTCCTTTCAGTCTTCATCAGAAAAATGTCTCCATAAATAGCATTTCTGATAATTTTGTTGGTCATACCCTTAGGCAATCAAGTTTATGCCATCCTCTAACTATTTCTCCTGAGAATTAAAGAACTTATAATATCCTTACAACAATAACTGTAAACATAAACCAAAAGAACTATGAACATTTAGATTTAATTTAAGTATCAGTAAATGGTACTCAAATGATATCAGAGATTCTGGTTAACCTAGAAATGGAGATTATGGGATTACTTTTTTGATAATATTTAGTATCGTGAACAATAAAATAGATTTTAAAATTTTATTTGAATAATTAAGTGAAAACTTTAGGGTCTTTTAAATGAAGAACTTTGGAAATGTTAGTGCTTTAAAAAAATAAAGAAGAGATATTTATTTATGGTGGGTCTGAATGCTAATCAACACTAATGATCTGAAGGCAGTAAAAATGATCTTGGAAGCCACAGTCTGAAAAAAATTAACAATATTCACAATCTCTTTTTATATTCAAAGTGAACTCCACCACAACTAGATTTTTTACTTTCATACTTAAGTTTGTGATTATAAGGTAACTGATTACATTTGACATTTGACATATATGCATTCTCCTTTTGGTGACAATGAGGAAGCAGGCTACACATTTTAACTGCTTTGTAGGTCAGAATACTAACTTAGACCAACCAAAGGCTGATAAAAAAATATTGCATAAGTGCACTTATTTAAATAACAAAAAATCAAGACTGTAGTTTAGGCAATTCAAGACTAAAAATAGATAAAAATCTATTGTGTAACTTTATTATGGTACTTCAAAACAAAATTTATTCAATCTGAATGAAGATAATGATTTGGAATTTTCATGAAATATCCAGAATCTTCTCACTTGTAAAAATCTTATATAAATGCCTATATTTTAAGTTAAGTCCTTAAAATGATGATTTCATTTACTCTACAGTTTTATTTCATGTAACACTGATGGAAATGAACCTCAAGTTTCTCTCCTTCAATAATGATGACAACATGTTTTTTCAAATAGACTTCTAAATTCAAAGATAGGTGGAGGGCCTTCTGTCTGTTCTCACCTGCTGGAGAATTGCACCAAGGGAATTCTTGTCTTTTTGATTGACGCCATCTTTCTGCAATCGAGCAAGCAGCTCAGGTTTCTTGTAGGCCTTCAGTGCCAGTAAGTGAATCACCCTGTCCCTATATGGCCGCTGAGACACACTGCTACTGCTATGTGTCTTTCGAATCGTATTTGCAGGGTTCATGGGAGTTGACCTTTTCCTCTCTGGTACTGCGTCTCCCACAGCTTGAGGGGCTTTTCGAAACTGCACTCTTTTCCCTAAAAGACCAGAGGAAATGATGTTTTTAGACATTTATAGGTGGCAACATAATGAATATCTCAGTTTCCAGAACTCTGATTTAAGTTCTTCACTTTTTCTAGAGACCACTTTATTTCAAATTTTACTTTAAAGAGAAATGCAAACAATATTTGTTTGAGCTCAAGTCCACTTTCAAGTGACATGTAACAAGGAGAATGAATAAATGATCTAAAATATGAATTAGGAATTTCTTTGACAGAATCATGTTGAGATAAATAAGCATTACAGATATTTGGCCACTTGGATAGTAATTTGCGAAACAAACATAAGTAACAGAAAATTTTAAAATTAGAAATTATTTAATATTAGATGGAAAGAACTTAATTTCCATGTTCATCTGGGTTTACAGAAGATCCACTTACTATAATGCCATTGCTGAAAAGTGGGCATGAATACAGTGTGGGTGGTAAGATGTGAAGTTAACACTTGTGTTTTGAGTCTAAGTACACACTTTTTGGTTGAGCTGAGCAATTAAAACTGCACGGATTAAGAAGCTGCAAGGAGGGAAGTCAAGCACAATGTAGGGTCAACATGTACTTGGGTACTCACTAGTGACATTGCTTGCAACAGATCCTAAAACAGATCCTACAAACACCACTACCACGAACCAACCGAGGTACAACATTTCAGTAGAACACGCTTCTCCTGTGTGGTACTGAGACTACACAGATGAACAATAGAAAATGGTCAAAATAAAAAACAAAACAAGGTCTTAGAACCGTTCCCACACAGTTCTGCTTAGATTTAACACTGAAACTTGGCAAGTGTTACTTCTAGAAAATGCAGAGGGTTGAAGTGGCCTGGAGATAGATAGATAAATCAATCTATCTATCTATCTATCTATCTATCTATCTATCTATCTATCCATCCATCCATCCATCCATCCATCCATCCATCCATCTATCTATCTATCTATCTATCTATCTATCTATCTATCTATCTATCTATCTATCTATCTAACTATCTATCTATTATGTGATATTATCAGGATATGGCTAGTTACTGATGCCACCTGAAAATTTTTTTTTCCTTGCTAAAGGAAAAAAAAAGACAGTAAAATAAAAAGGTACAAGACTCTCATTCTGTGATTTCAGAAGTGGAATCTTAAGAGTTCATTTATTATATTCTAAACCTCAACTCTATACCTTCTGGTAAAAGAGCAAGAATTCCAATGTAGAATAACGACATTAAGAACAATATTACTTAATGTAAAGTTACTAATAAGGAAAGTCGTTTTTAAGTGCTGTTGATTCAGGCGAGAACAGATCAACAAGGCAGAGAGTACGGAAGAGTAACAATATCCATGTTGGGATCTCCAGCGTTTGTGTGTGTGGTTTGTTTTTGTGGTTTTTTTGTTTGTTTGTTTGTTTTAATATGATGAAAAGGAAGGCAGAGAGGATGAATGTTCTCATGAAATCTCTACAAGCTCTTCTATTTCTTGAACACCTAGGCATAACCAATTGTAAACATCAAATTAATATATTACACAACAAAGGAATTCAACACCAATGCTAAGAAATGTTATTCAGTTTCTGCATTTTTTTAATAGTGGATCAGTGTCAGATAGGAACAGAAATATTATTTATCATGCACCAATTATGTGTGGGGTGGGTTTCATACACGTTTGACAACTTTTAAAGATAGACACTGATCCCATTCTACAGAAGAGAAAACCGAGGCTTTCAAAGGGATATAGTTGAGCTGTAAAGTGCTCACTTTTAACATCTGGAAAGTTCCACCAAAATTTTCCTACTTGTATTTCTTTGCAGTTTGGAAAGATTTTATGAACAAAAGCTCAGTGTCTGCCAGTGCTTCATTTAAGGCAGGAAGCTTAATGTGAGCAGGACTGTGACTTTTTTATCAAAAGACCTTGAATCAGTATTTCATGACCAAGTAAGTGGCATCAAGATAGCAAGTAAATAGAGAGGAGGAATCAAACTGGTTCCTTTTGCCCCACAATACCAGGTTGCTTTGTTAGAGTATGAAAACATCAAAAACCTTTAATGTGCCAAGTGCAAACCTTCCAATTCATTCTCAGTCACATTTGTTAACAAATGAGGAGTGTTCTTTCTTCTTTTTTGGAGGCTGGAGAGTACTTGTGAGCTAAGCTAATGAATACCATGATTTGTCACTTGGAGTGAATTCAAGTCAAGAAGAAAGGCAAACAAAAATAAAAACAGAACGTGACAGCACTGCCACTGTGCTCTCGGCTACCCTACCTCTCTGGTCCTCCTATCTTCTGTCTCTAGAGGGCCTTCAAAGTCTCCTAGGTTTAACTTCACCCCTCCTGGAGGAAGGCTGCAGATAAATACAGTGCTAACCTTCAGATATGAAATTGGGGATAGGGCAGGAATGGAGCTTTATCTGGCATATAAGACTGAGCTGTCACCTCTCCATGAGTCTTCCAACTCCAATAAGCTCATCTCACCTTTACCTCATTTTTCTCATATATAGCCATTCAGCCCAGCCAGAGTGTACCACTGAGTTATGCTAGAACATTACATGCTCAGTCCTCTCCATTCCTTTTGTAACTGTTCAACCAAGAAAGAGTCCTCTATCTATAAATGAAAAAGTATCAGTGATGCACATAATTACAAAACTGAGATGCTAAAGTGTGAGGGGGAGAAAAAGAAAGAAAAAATGTGGAGCAAGAAAATGTAAACTTCATAATGGGCAGAAGAAAGGCTTTTATTTTTATTTTTGCCTGAGAAAAAAACCCTTTTAATAAAGCCTATGGGAGAACCTAATTCTCTTCCCAGACCCAACTGCTAATCAATTCCCTGGGGTCCTTATATAAACAGCAGCAGTGGGTCCAAGAGGATTGGGTGATCTGGGACTATATCTGCATCCCGGTTTCATAACAAGGAGTCCACTTCTAGCTTGTCCATTTAATATGAGAGGGTAAAAGCATTCATTCCTTAGTCAAGTGGCTCCATGTAAACAATCAAATGAAGGTGTTAAAACAGTACGTAATAAAAAGAGCAATGACTGTGGCCGTTGTTTTTCTGTTTTGTAGAAACTGACGAGCAACCGTGGCAAACTGACTTTAAAACCACTGGCAAGACAGTGAGGATGATGTGATGTTGTCATGGTTAACTGCAGCGGGGTTTTGAGCAGTTTTTCCGAAGGTTTACTCTCCCTCTGCGTATGCATACAGAACTATCTTACAACATTAGAACTATGAAGGGCTTTCAGTATTACCCGGTTCAAATAAATAATCCTCATTTTAAAATTGAGAATACTGAAGCAAACAGATGTTAAAGAATTTGTTCAAGGTCATTCAAATGTGCTAAGAAGGGTGGAGAGAGAGGTTAGGGAAAAAGGAAACAGAATCTTAGAAATCAGATTGACTGACAATCTGAAATACCTACATAGTAACTTGTGTGAAATTTTTTTAATTTTTGTGGAATTTAGAAATAGCTAAGTACACTTAGGACACTTATAGTAGTGATTGGTATGCTTTAAGAAAACAAACAAGAAAAAGTGAGCTGATAAAAATACAACACTTGACTACAGATATAAATACCATGACTTGCTGTTGTTGTTATGTGTCATTGAGTCGCTTGTGACTCATAGTGACCCTATGTAAAACAGCCCTAAAACCTGCTCTATCCTGTGCCAATTGCACTGCCTCTGACACACCCATCCCGATTACCCCAGTCACTGAATCAATCCACCTCATAGAGGGTCTTCCCCTCCTGCGCTGTCCCTCTACCCTCCCAAGCATGACGTCCCTCTCCAAGGACCTGTCCCTCCTTACGACATGTCCAAAGTATGTCAGACGAAGCCCCAGAATCCTTGCCTCCAAGGACCAGCCTGGTTTAACCCTCTCCAGGATGAATCTGTTTTCTTGGCAGTCCATCGTACATTCAGTACTCTTCTCCAGCACCACGGCTCAAAGGCATCAATTCTCCTTCTATCCTCCCTAGTCATTGTCCAACTCTCTGATGCATAACAAGTGATTGCAACGACCATAGCCTGTAGCAGAAATATTACTGAAGAAATAATGATAATGTTTTCTAGGTTAAAGTCTCCCCAGGTAATATAGGCTTTTTTTTTTTTTTTAATCCCACAAGAATGTCATAGAAGCTCATATACCTGGGTGACCAGTGCAGGTGACCCCTCAAAGCACAGTCTTCGTCATCCTAAGCTGGGTTTGTTCTCTGGTTTGGCTGCCAGTAGTTGATTTGGAATAAGGCCACAAAACCACACTGGGGCCAGTATTGTTCCCATCTGTCCTCCACCCAGGCTGACTCAGTTAAAAGAATCCTTGTTCTGGAAGCACCTCTAAGTAGGCATAAGATACCTTTTGGTTCCATTTATGTGATACATTCAAGCATGAACTGAAAGGGTGCTTCTGCTTCCTTTCATATTAAGAAAACATGAACAAAACCGACCATAATTTGTTAATGAGGCCATACTCAAAATTCTTGCTTTTAGCTGCTATCAGTAATTTGCTATACAAATTGGAACTGAGAATCTCCTTGTCTATGTAGAAGAATAACTAAATGTCTGAGCTGTCTAGGTGGAAAAAGATGGTAAAGAACTAGTGATGGATACGGTTAAAAGAAAAAGATAAAAAAAAAAATAATATTAAAATGTATGGTAAAAACAAACAGAACTCAAGCAACAGAAAATCCAGTCAGGATACCAGTCTTTTGGTCCCCTGAAATGAGACTTGAATTTTTTTAAGAGTACTGTGTCCAGTTTTGAGCTCTGAGGCACAGAACTGGCAACTGTCCAGAGGAGATCAATAAAAATAATTAAAGGGTTGGGATAGAGGACATATTAAGAAAAGTTAAAAGGAGTCAGAGATATTTGGCCTGGAGAATAAAAGGCTGAGGAAGTTAATGACAATATTTAAGACCAGAGAAGAACACTGTTGGCATGCTGAGTGGTTAGGACACTGAGGTCAAAGTAAAAAGGAAAAGCTGAACATGACACAGGCTGCCAGAAAGCACTCACTATGTGGCTCAAAGAGTGGAATATGTGTGGCTAGAGCATGGCTAGTTCTTAGAGTGGTGTAGAGGCAATGTGCTTCAGAATCAGACTAGCCTCAAATTTCTGGAGTCCTCAGTATATAAGTAACTAATTTGCAGTGCCATAAGAAATTAGTTAAGTCTTCACAGGTCCCTGTACTATTAGGGAGTATATGGTCTGTGGGATTCTGGGTGATAAAATGCTACAAATGAAGTGTATCTGACCCTATCAAAACAAACTGATACACAAACTGAACAGAGGGGCAACCAAGGGCCATCCAAGGGGAAAAGATGAGCAATCAATTCTGTTTTTCAAGATTTGGAACAAACCAGGGTGAGTTTTACAGCTAACTTATACTAGGAGGAAATGTACTATTTTGATGGCTTTCATCTATTCTTTTGTCAAACATATCAACATGCCTCATTGTTTATAAAATGGGATGCTGGGCAGAGCTGGGTTTTTTGGTAATACAGGACTGACATCGGGGTTAGGGGGAGACTGAGAAAGATGGGATAAATAATGTATACTGCATTGAAACAGATGAGGGAGAAAACTGTTTAAAAGGGATATGTGATTAGGTATTATAGTCATGACAGGAGTCCAGAACTAAGAGTAGACCTGGGGGAAGGGACTGTAAAACAATGAAAGAATTTTTCAATATTTCAAAAATAATTTTAAATTTAGCCCAATACCATAGAAAATTAATCAAGTTCCTCAAAAGAGAAAGAAAAAGTTGGACGTTTAGTTACCTCACTCAGCAGGAAAGGAAAGGAAAAAATATTCACTGCTCATAACTTACTGGGCAGGGCACTGGGCCCATGGGTGCAGATACCTGGGGAAGCTATGAATTGTTGTTAAACCAAACTAAATGTATCTAAGCTAAGCACCAAGTCCCAGGAGCACTGGCTTTGTTCCAAAAGAAATACTTATTAAAGATACTGGTGGAGGTTCTCAAAGTTGAATGATTGTAGCTGTATCAGCAAAGGGAGAATACAGAAATAGAATTATACCATGGAATAATGTTGACTAGTTCTTTTAAGAGTTTATTTCTGAGAATATTTAAATTTGAAAATGAATATGTTTTTCCCTCCTTTACTATATAGTGACTAATGTTCTAAAACTATCTAAAGCAGATCTTCAAATGACTGACACAGTAATTGCAATACTGAGCTTGAACATGGCCGAGACCATGAGGCTGGCAAGGAGTGAGATTTTGTTCTGTTGTTCCTTTGGTTGTTATGAGTCACAGACAATTCAATGGCACCTAACAACAACAATAACAACAACGCTTCACAAAACTAGTCCTCACTCTTGATAAGTTTTCTATTGGTAAAAGTCACTCTAAATCAAATCCATAAAATTGTTAGGAGAGACTCATGCTGTATTATAGTCTTGCTTCTTCCCTTCAACATTATGGGCATTTGAGTGAACTGATGATAAAAGATGGTGGGGGCTAGGTGGTCTCTTAATGGATGGATTTAGATGATGACCCATAAACCATATCACAATTGAAATGCTAAAGAAGCATCATTCTAATGCTTTCCTACAAGCATATTTTAAACTTTTATAATCAAAACTCCTTGGTGCATAAAGATCTTCTCAAAATGTAGGCAAAATTTGCAACAATTATATTATCAAATTCTACAAACAGACTTTGCTGTAAAAATAATTCTACAAAAGTACAAAACAAGAACCATACTATCCATTAATCAAGTGACTGGTAATTAAGAAAACACAGTGACTGAGAAAACACAATGTGAGATGCACTAGCACTATTACCACTTCACACAGTAACTTCCCCACATCTCAGAGCTGTAAAATAATAAATACTCAACAGAGAATTCAGGATTTAGGGAACAAGGAAACTGCTTAATTTGTTCATAATTTACCAGAAGTCTAAAGAGAATAAATGACCTTTTCTCTTTTACCAAGTCATCCAAAATCTTATGAAAACAAATGACTGTATTTTTACTAAGTTAATAATACCAAGTATTTACCTACAGTGATCTTGAATTATTCCGATCAGCGAGAGGGAGGAAGATATCTATACAAACCTACGTATGGTCCACCAGGTTTGATAACTTTTGTGCTCCGGTTGCGGGATTCCTCCTCGGCCTGGGTCATTCTTTCTCGTGTCATCTGATATGAATCGTTTGTTGCACACACTGTAATTTTATCTTGTATAAATCCCAGGCAATTGAGCTGGGAGGCTCCAGAGCTGTCAAGTGAGACAGTAGCTTTGTTAGGGATGACACTCATTTTGCACAGGAAGAGCAAGAATTGTATAATCGGCAAATAATCAGAACTGTTACTAATGCTAAAGTAACTAATAATAATTTTTAAATGTAAAGATTATCTAAAAATATAAGTTCCCTCTCATTTTATACTGCAGTTTTGTTCACTGTCTTAATGCAATGTGTACAGAAATCTATGATCAAAATCTATGGCATTTATTTACACGGGGAATCAGTGTTTGGAGTAAGCATAATGCCCCAATGGTGTACTATATAGTTCTATTTTTATTTAAACAGTCAGCCATTTTTAAGAATGACTGATCACTAAATGTTCAAAAGTTTACTTTTAACTTTTGACACAACAGTACTTTTAAAGTTAAAATACTGATAAACATTAGTTTATTTTCAATTATGCTCAAAGTTCCTAAAAATTTAAATATATTTACTACTTTGCTAAGATTTTATATAAGGTGATCTATTTCTTTAGAAGATATTGAAGAAAATGTGGGCAAAAGATTTTTGCAGAAATGCTTAAAAGTAATTTTTATTTAAACTATAATGAATTAACCCTGAAGGTGGCTGTGTTTCCAATAATTTTCTCATATTAGGGATCATGGCAACAGTCCTAAGTGCTACATTAAAAATGAATTACTGTGGCCTCAAAAAAAGTTGGAACCCCAAAAGTCTGAGAATATAGCTGTTGCTCTAATATTATTTCTAAACCTTACTGAAAGTAGATTTTTTTATGATTCTAAAAAATAAGAAGTGATTAAAATTTTACAAACTGCTGACAAGCATTTTTATAAGTGTTAACATACTTTCTTAAAAATCAGTTCATTTAAAAAAATCAATTCATTTACTAATATATATAATTGGGTAGGGACTGAATGCCAAGCAACACAAGATACAGAAGCTATATTAAGGACAGAGATACATGGGATTCCTTTTTCATTGAGCTCTCTGTCTAGTGGGTAACAAGGATGAATAAATGCACAATGACTACACTATATAGGGAGTTGTGCTGCTAATCTAGAGATCAAGCTTTTCTGACAGTTCAAACCCACCAACAGCTTCAAGGGGGAAGGTTATCTCCTTCTGTGTTATTATAGCCTCAGAATACCTCCTGGAGGCTTAGTTATGAGTTAAGTGATAAATCTTTGGCAGAGGAAGATCAAGGACGCTGGGGACCACCTAAGGAGGGGTCTCACTTGGACTTGCAAGTGAGGCAAAGGTTTCCCAAAGTGACACCCAAAGTGAGCCAGAAAGAGAAATGTACAAGGGAGAGGAAGGAAACATGATAGCCAACCTGGGCTCTGGCTGTGCTTCCAACCCAAAGCCAAGTGGTTTAACTCTGCCAGCTCCTCAGTGGGAGAAAGATGAACAATTTCCTTCAGTATAACTTATAGCCTTCAAAAATGAGATGGAGGGTCAGCTATTAGTCAGTCCTGGCACCTTCCAAACAACATCTGACCTATGCAGGCCCCCAGGGAAGAATGGTACCAAGAAAAAGTTTTCAATTCAGTCACAAAGAGAGTTGGAAAAAGCAACTAAAAGAAGATGAGAAAGGATTGCCAAGTATATCTTTGATAAGGCTTTGATGTTCATATACATGGTTTGGACTTTATCACAAGATTAGCAGAGGCTGAAAACTGGGTAGAGAAAATGTCTTCCATTTTGTTTATCAGAAAAATATAGATGGAGACTATTTGGATGAGGCAGCAGGAAAACAAGTAAGAGTGGAAGCAGGGAGAAAAGTTAGGAGGCTACTGAAGGTTCCAGGTGGGAAGTGATAATATGAACCAGAGGAGGTCAGTGAGACTGCAGACTATTTGACAGATTCTAGATACTGTGAGTTAACAGGGGCCTCTCCAAGTTACTGAGAAATAATGGTGTCAGTTTGAACACTATGGCGCATCTGATCCAGGCCATGGTCTTTCCAAACACTTGCTATGCATCTGAGAGCTAGACAATGAATATGGATAATAAAGAATTGATGCCTTTGAACTGTGGTGTAGGAGTGCTATATATCCCATGGACTGCCGAGAGTACATAATAGGACATAATAGGTATGTCTAGGAGAGGGTGAAGCCAGAGTGCTCTTTGAAGGCAAGGATGATATCACATATGTGATATCACATCACATATTTTGGATAGGTTGCACAGAGGGACTAGTCCTTGGTGAGGGACATGATGCTGGGAAGGGTGGAGGGTCGGTGAAGGAGAGGAAGACCCTCAACCAGGTGGACTGGCATGGTAATTGCTGCAAATGGCCTTTAATGTCTCGGGAAGTGTGGGGATAGCACAGGATAGGACAGGTTTCAGATCTGTTGTTCATAGGGTTGCTATGAGTTGTCCTAAATTTGAGGGCACCACCACCACCAAGAAAACACGATATTGTGAGAAGGCAGAATTGACAGAATTTTACTAATCATTGAATGGTGGGAGTGGAGAGAGAGGAGAAGTTAAAGATGTTAACTAGGTTACTAGGTGTATGGAGCTGCCATTTACTAAGAGATTCAACATGGGAAGAAAGGCAGGTTAGCGGAAAGATCTGGAAAGAAAAATGAATTCAGTGTGTATATGGTGACTTTTGAAAGGATGAGGTATGTCTCAGAAGACTAAAGATGACAGAAGAAAAATTGATGACCTTGAATTATGGTGCTGGATAAGAGTATTGAGCATACCATGGACTGCCAGGAGAACAAATCAAGTGGCTCCTTGGAGCCAAGGATTTTGAAGCTCCATCTCCTATACTTTGGGCACATTACCAGGAGGGACCAGTTCTAGGAGAAGGACATTATGCTTGGAAGGGTGGAGGGACAGTGCAGGAGAAGAAGACCCAGGATGAGATGGATTGATTCAGCAACTGGAGAAATGGGATTAGGTCTGTTAGAAATGAAGAGATTGACTCAGGATAGGGCAGGATTCAGAGAATCGACAGCACCTAACAACAACGAGTTAGGAGGACTAAGTTCTCGTTCAGTCTAGCCACCAACTAACTAGCCATGGAACTGTGGATAAGTAATTTGGGTTCACAGCAACCCTCGAGGACAGAACAGAATTGTACAAGCAAACTGTCAGATCTTCGTGCACTGACTGGCTGGAAGGGTGGGACCTGCTGATCTTTCAGTTAGCAGCAGGACATTTAACCATCTCCTTACACAATCAGAGGATCCTGAAACTTGAGAATTCTATAACTTAGAGCAGCAATGTCCAACTCTCTGCCATAATGAAAATGTCAATTATCTGTGAAAAGTGGCTAGTGTAAATGAGTTGAATTTTTAATTTAATTTCATTTTAATCCATTGAAGTTTAAATATTCACACACCTAGTGACTATTACTGTGAACAGCACTGGAAAGTCTATATACACTTACAAGACATTCAAGTTATGTAAAAAATAAACTGGCTGGCAAACAATTTTAGAAAGGAAAATGAAAATATATATACTCAACAGAAAATGGCAGATTAGGGTAAAACAAACAGAAATTTCTTTGGTCACGTTAAATGGGAGGAGAAAACGTGGAACTTTCAGTGAAGTGTTTTATTTTGTATCTCTGCCTCTAGTTTCTCCCAGCATTGCCAGTGCTCACACAATTTCAAGCACTGCCCAGAAAAGAGATAGGATGGATGGGCAGGGTGGCTTGGGGCAAAGTCAAAGAGCTGCACACTAGGGGAATGAGGCAACCTGGGGGCTCCAAGGCCTGTCTCCATTCACAGGCAGAACAAACTCCCCCTACTCAAGGGGACCATTCTTTAACCAGAAACAACTAGAGCAAAGAAGAGTCAAACAAGCAGCTTATTGTTTACTGAGGACCTAAGTAAATAAGGGTTCCATGGTACCCTAGGGGTGGGGGTGTGTATTCTTATTCCTCCCCCCTCCCTTTATTTTATTTTTCTACTCTTAATCATGTGTGGCAAAGAAAAAGAAAACAAACACAGCTGCTTAAAGCTGACCCTCCAGCAGGTTTCCAGGCTACAGATAACACAGGAAGAGAGTTCCCATCTTTCCCCCTTAGATTCCCAGGTAGATTCAACCTGCTGAAGCACAACTCCCTACAGAAGGGGTTATATTGAGGTTAATGTCTAGTTTATATTTTGTCATACTATAAAAAAATATTTTAAAAACATCCCTTGAAATAATGCTTGTATATGGAAGAGGGAAGGGGCCATGCAATACAGACTTATCTATCTATATTTAAATATAAATACTTATATTTATATTTAAATATAAATATAAGTTTTTTCCCTCTTTTATCTTTGAGCATCAGCCTCAAGTATTAAGACACATTGTTATGCTGTGAATAAAAAGTTCTAAAAACTCCTCAGATTTGTCTCTAATAAGAACCCCAAGAAACAAAGCACATTTTACAGGTAAAGTATCTTTGTACTTTAACACATTGCCGCAAATGATAGCAAATGTGTTTCTAAGTATGGTTGTCAATTTAAAAAGTGTGCAGCAACATGTTAAAAGTCTATTTGAGGAAGGAATCTTAACATTTTTGTGATCATATCCTACAGTAACAAATACAATTTTTAGCACAAAGTAGGTGCTCAATATTTTTAAATATATAAATGAATTCTACAAATTCAGTAAATATTTATGGAATGATAACTGCAATAATTTCTCCAAGAGCACGCTTTGAGCAGTACTTACCTGGAGAAGGTCTGCTGGGTGCATTCAAAGCTGCCCTGGGGGTTGTCTTTACCCACATTTGACAGATAGAAGTTAAAGTTATGTACTTCATTGGGCTGATCAATTTTGGGGATTTTGACAAGCTAGAAAGAGTGAAGGGGGAAAAAAAGAAACATTTTATAAAACAGAATATGGTAGCCTGATGAATGAGTCACTGTTCCTTACATTAATTTCATTTTATGTTTAAACCCTCTTAATGTACATCTTTCTAGCATTTAAAGGATCATTCAAGGAATCTGATAATCCTGTGTATAATTCATCACACTCTTAACCCCATTTTCTGCCCTTCAGTGTCAGCAATCATTTGTGCTCACCAATCAATTTGTAAGTTCTCTTCATTTAAAATTTGCAAAGAATTATAGTTCACATAGAAGAGTTATTAGTGAATTTGCTTAGCAAAACAAAACAGAACAAGAGATTCCTCCTCTGAGGTACACAAGTTGCCACTATGACCCACAATAACACCCTGCTCAGATGTTCCTAGATGTTTTAATGGTCTCTGAGACAGAGTCTATACTTCCATCTTACACTTGCTTATTACATATCTATTTCATTTTAATTCCTGTTTTTCCAAGAAATATTTTTGAGGAAGATGACTCACAACTTATATTGCAGCATAAAATTAACGCCAAAGTTGCATTTACAGTAAAAATGCAGCCAAGGCATTTTTCCATACCCCGTGATGCCCTTACTCATTCTCATGTTTAAAGAACAGGGTCAGCAGCCTACAAAGGTAGCTCTGCTGGACACTCCCAGGCTGAGCTCAGACAGCATGACACATGGGATAAATAGGTTTTCTAAGAACTTGTTCTAGATCTTGTTTCTCTACTAGATGGGAAGCCCCAAGAGTGAAGGGACAGGTTGCTCTCGATGACTGAACCCATGCAGTGACCATGCTGATAGCTCAATAAATGTCTCTCAAGAAAATGAAATACTAACTTTTCACTGCCTTCCAGTTAATACATCTTCCCAGATCTTGGAGCCCTTCTTCTCTTACATATGTATCTCTAACTGAGGTGTTTATTTAAAAAAGACTCACTGGCATGTAAAATATTATTTCCTATTCTACCTGTCCTCAAAGCTTAGTCTCATCAACTAAGTAAAATGGAAAGAAAAAAGCAGTGTTTCTCAGCACTTATTTTTCTTCCTGAAACCTGTCCTTTCCATTATGAGTGGCCCAAGGCTGAAAGTGAGGAGGACTTGAAGCACTTGCTGCAGATCAGACTTCAATAGGAATCACTTATCAACATCAAGAAAACCCAAATTATCATCACTAGACCAGAAAGATAGAAGGAGGAATAATGAAGTTGTTAGTGATTTCATCTTACTGGGATCCACAATCAACACCTTTGGTACCAGCAGCCAGGAGGTCAGGAGATGTACTGCATTAGGAAAGTTTGCAGTCAGGGACTTCACCAAATTATTGAGGAGCAAAGATGTCAGTCTGAAGATTAAGGTGAGCCTGATTAAGGCCATAGTCTTTTCAATCACTTCTATGCATCAGAGAGCTGGACAATGGATAAGGCACCTACCAACAATAACAAAGGCTCTGGTATATAAATGTTAAAAAGTAAAGATACTACTTTGATAATTTAGGTGTGCCTGGCCTAAATTACGGTATATTCCATTGTCTCGTTGTTGTTGTTGAGTACCTTTGAATCTGACCTGACCCATAGTTAAACCTCTAATGGATTGTCAAAGGCAGTAGATCTCATGGGAAAAGAGTACTCATCTGTTTCCAGTGGAGCAGCTGCTAGATTCAATCTGCATATCTTTGGATTGGCAGTACAATTTTTTTTACCACTCACCCTCATATAAACGTGCAAATTGAAGAATAAAAAAGGAAAGCGTTTTTAATTCTTACTTGTCTAAGAAATCATTTTGAAGATGACTCTCAGTATATATTGCTGCACAAGATTAATGTCAAAGTTGCAAAATCAATGCCTTTGAATTGTGATGTTGGTAGGGAAGGAATATTGAATATACCAAGGACTGCTGAGATGACAAAATTTGTCCTAGGGGAAGTACAGAAAAAATGCTCCTTACAAGTAAGGATGGCAAGACTTCTTGCTCATTCTGGACACGTCTTTGGATGAGGATCAGAAAAGCTAGGAAATTAAAATTCAGACAGCCAACAAACACCAATAAACACATGAGGAAAATGTTCAAAATCTCTAGCTATGAGAGAGATACAAATTGAAACAACGGTGAATTATCACCTCACTCCTGCAACAACAGGAGGTTCAACAGGGCAGCAAACAAGTGCTGGTAAGGATGTGGAGAGGTTCTAACTCTCATTCAATGTTGGTGGGAATATAAAATGGTGCAACCACTACAGAAGGTGGTTTTGTGTTTTCTAAGAAAGTTGGAAATAGAAATACCATTTGGAACTCATGCAATATTATTTAAAATGGTGAACCTGGAGGACATTGTTATTATTGTTATGTGCCATCGAGTCGCTTGTGACTCATAGCGACCTTATGCACAACAGCCCTAAACTCTGCTCTATCCTGTGCCAATCGCACTGTGTCTGACACTCACATCCCGATTATCCCAGTCACTGAATCAATCCACCTCATAGAGGGCCTTCCCCTCCTGCGCTGTCCCTCCACCCTACCAAGCATTATGTCCTTCTCCAAGGACCGGTCTCTCCTCACAACATGTCCAAAGTATGTTAGACGGAGCCTCAGGATCCTTGCCTTCAAGGAGCCACCCGGTTTAATCCTTAAGGATGAATCTGTTTGTTTTCCTAGCAGTCTATGGTACTCTCAATACTCTTCACCAGTACCACAGCTCAAAGGCATCAATTCTCCTTCTATCTTCCTTGGTCATTGTCCAACTCTCTGATGCATAACAAGTGATAGCAAAGACCATGGCCTGTATCAGATGCACCTTAGTCTCTGAGAGACACCATTGCTCTTCAGTACTTTGGAGAGGTCCCTAACAGCAGACTCTCCCATGGCAATGCACCTTTTAATTTCCTGGCTACTGGTGCCGAGAGTGTTGATTGTGGAGCCAAGCAAACTAAAGCTGTAAACAATCTCAATCTCTTCACCATCCATCCTGATGCTGCCAATTGGCCAGGGGTGAGAATCTTTGTCTTCTTGACATTGAGCCTCAATCCATATTGGAGGCTGCAGTCCTTGACCCTCTGCAGCAGGTGCTTCAGGTCCTCCTCAGTTTCAGCAAGCAGGGTTGTGTCATCTGCATAACAATCTGCAGATTGTTGATAAGTTGTCCACCAATCTTGACCCCACATTTCTCCTCATAGGAGGACATTAGGCTGAGTAAAATATCTCAGTCACAAAAAGACAAATATTGCATAGTGCCACTGTTGTAAAATGGGACTGACATCAGGTTTGGGGTAAGACTGAGAAAAACTGGATAAATTATGTATACTGCATTGAAACAGATGAGGGAGAAAACAGTTTAAAAGCAATATATGATAGGGTATTATGGTTATTACAAGAGTCCAGAATGAAGGTTGCATAGTGGAGTGTACTCAGGGGCAGGGGGGATTGTATACCAATGAAGGAATTTTTCTTTTACTTTTCAAAGAAAGGAGCGAACTGGGGGGGTAGGGATGGGCAGGGAGAAAAGTGCAACAATGAATGAATGGAAATCCAAAATCTCTGTAAATGTTCATTAAAATTAATAAAATAAAATTTAAAACACGGCAGATTATATAAAAAAAGAAATAGCATTTGGACCAACTATCCCACTATTGTGAATACAGCCTAAAGAAATCAGAGCTTTGATGAACACAGATGTATGCACACCCATGACTGCTACAACATTATTCAAACAGCAAAGAGATGGAAGTTGCATAACTGCCTGTCAACAAACAAATGGATAGAAAAAACCCCCATAATATACTCACATAATGGAATATTATGCAGCATTGAAAACAAAAAAACTTGTAAAACACTACACAGCATGGATGAGTCTGGAAGACAGTATGCTGAGTGAAATATCTCTATCACAAAAGGACAAATACTGCCTAAGACTACTGTTATAAAATAGGATTGACAGAGGAGGAGGAAAACAGGAGAAGAGTAAATAGATAAAGAATAGATGAAAGAAAGGAGTGTCTGAAATGAATGTATGATTAGGCATTATGTGGATGACTATTAACAATCTGTAACAAGAAGGTCATTATAAAGCCAATTGGAGAAGGAAAAGAAAGAGAGGGAGGAAAATGTGCATCAATGAATAAATGAAAACCCAATCTTTCCTTAAGTTTCATTAAAATCACAATAAAAATTAGAAAAAAAAATTTAAAAAAAAAAAAAGAAAACCAACTTAACTGCAGAAAAGTTTACATACAGACAATTAAAGGAAAATTTTTAATAAAGCTATTACTTCTATGTATACATTCCCTTTCTCACTCTCCAAACTATGGTCCTTCTATAGAGCATTTGCACATTTAAATGTAAAAATGATATTTCCCTATATTTGACATCAGAGATCTCTAGTGGCATCTAGTGAATAAGAAAATGTGCTGGCAGTCTTGAAACAGTTCAAACCACTGGCGGCTTGGTGGAAAAAAGGTGGGCAACCGCCTCCTGTATGATTTACAGTCTCTGAAAATCAACTGGACAGTCAGCTATGAAGCAGTTCCAGCTCAACAGTGTATAACAACAACAACAAAACACATTTTCAAGCTCTCTGGGTGGTGCAAATGGTTTGTGCTTCACTATTAACCCAAATGTTGGCAGTTCTAATCCACCTAGCAGAACCTAGAATCCCAGGGATCTGATTCCTCATGTACAGCCAAGAACAATTCATAGATAAGCAGTTCTATGACACACATGGGGTTGCCATTAGTTAGACTGTCAGAACTATGATGAATTTGGATTTTTTTTCCATGTTGTTGTTATGGATTGTCAAGTTGGAACCATCAACCCATAGCTGACCCTCCCTTCAGTGTGTGTTTAAATCGAACAGGAGGAGAATGCCCATCCTTCTCCTGTGGAGCAGCTGGTAGCTGTTGGTGGATTTAAACTGAGTGCCTTTGGAATTGCAGTGCAGCTTCTTACCACCAGGCCACATCATGTGTCTATTTCATTTAAAGCACACACAC